GACCGCCATGTTCGGGAAGGTCAGAGGAGATGCCGCGTCGGTTTTCGGAGATGAGGCAGCGGGCACCAGTGGGCCGGCGAGTAAGCCCTCAGCAGTTCATCGGACGCGGCTCCGACGCACGAGCTAGTTTGTTGTTGTTCCCCCATTTTTCCGATCCCTTTTTCATTTGATCACAGTCGTACCTGTGATTTGGGGGTTGAGGGCTAGCCATCTGGGGTTTGAAGTGTGCGTGTGTGTGTGTGTGTGTGTGAATTTACGGGTTCCTACTCCCTCCCTCCCACCCTCGAAGCAGTCTGTGTGCATTTTGGGGCCTGTGACCAGTGTCTTCTATGCGGCAGTGTGCGGGCTATCACGTCTCAGGTTTTTTCCCAGAGGAGCCCCCTGGCGCCGGCCTCGCGGCGCGCTTGACAAGGGTTGCGTGTGTAGCTCCTCTCTTGCTCGCGAGTGTGGACGTGATTGCGGGCTCGATCGCTCCCTTTGTGTCAAAAGTTGGTCGGTTGGCATTATAAGTTACCCCCGTCGGGGTGATCCACCCGACCCCGTTTGTGGCTGGCCCCTCCCCTCAGCAGCATAACGCACATATGCGTTTCCAAACGAGCTTGTATGTGTGCATTGCCGTGGGTCAGGGCCGTGCATGTTGCATCCTATTTTGCCTGCTTGCACTCCTTGTGGCTCGCAGTTTTTTCGGTTCCCGACCCCCTCGAACCTCGTGGGCTATCGCGTTTCACATTGTGTCGCCACGAGCCCTTTGGCGCTGGCCTCGTGGCGCACGTGACAACGGGTGCGTGCGTAGCTCTTCTCGTGCTCGCGAGTGTGGACGTGATGTGAAACGACTGCGGGCTCGATCGGCCCTCTTGTGCCAAAAGTTTGTTAATTGGCTTTATGTGTTAGCCCTGTCGGGGTGATCTGCCCAACCCCGTTTGTAGCTCGCCCCTCCCCTGAGCAGCATAACATACATAACATGCTTTGCCAAAACAGTTTTCGAAGACCCGCCCGCCCGTGGATCACCTTTTGGCGTTGTCGAGCCGTGCAGGGATGGCCTTAGGTCGGAAAGCAACACCTCATGTTGAGGCCCAGAAAGCAAGTGGAACGACTGCGTTTGCTCAACAAGTTTTCGGGTGTCCCACCCGCCCGTGGGTCGCCTTTGCTGGTGCGCGCGCCGCACGGGACACCTGTTTAGCATCACCCCAGTTAGGGCCCCGCTTAGGTGAAAGTGAAACAACTATTTTGTCTCAGCCAGTATTCCGGTAACCCGCCCGCTCCTGGGTCATTGTGTGATGTCTTGCCGAATCTATCGCTCCAGGCGGAGTTCCAGGATGCAAGCGACACATCGTTGTGTTTCCCAACCAGTATTTGGTGACCCGCCCGCCCGTGGATCACCTTCCGGTGCTGCGCCGCCGTACGGGAAACGTAGTGGGTTGGAATGCATCCTCTCATGTTGAGGCCCAGAATGCAAGGGTACCAATTGTTTTTCTCAACCAGGTTTCAGGTGACCCACCCGCTTGTGGGTCCACCTTTTGGGGTGCGCGCGCCGCACGGGAAACGCATTGTGTGGGTATGCTCCACCGCGTGTTGATGCAGTGGTTGTATCAGATTTGGGAAACCAGCTCTTGCGGAATCGAACTTCAGCATCGAACACGATTTAATAATGCGGAAACGGTGGGAAACGCGTGTTCGGAATACGGACGCACAATGGAGTGCATTTAACACCAGCACAGCTCGCTACTACAACTATTATTAGGGTGCGGCTGCGTTACACGTATAATCTAAGCTCTCGCGCTGTTCTTGCTCTGGTTGCGCCGGGTTGTGTGGGGCCCCGCGCGCGAGAACCCTTGTTGCTGAGAGTGCATCTCTCTGCCAAAATGTGGAGCAAGGGTAACCCCCGTGCTCGAATCCCGCGCCAGGATTTCCCTGCTGGGCCCGCGGAACCTGGACCCCCTGGGGTCCTCCGCGCGCCCCACAAGTTATTTCGTTTGGGATGCCCCCCCTTATGGGTCCTACGTTGGTGTCGCCCGAGTGATGGACGAGGAGGAGGAGGAGGGGGAGGAGGAGGAGGAGGAGGAGGAAGAGGAGGAGGAGGGGGAGGAGGGCGAGGAGGAAGAAATGGAAGAGGAGGAGGATGAAGAGGAGGAGAGCCTCCGAACTGCCTGATCCCAGCGCGGGGAGGTTTTGTTATATTCGGCGAGAAGCCCATGGCGTCAACGCTGCTCGGCTCGTGCATCATCCTGCCATCGGTGCCCCAGGGTTGAGCCGTCGCAAGATAGGATATGAAAGGCACGAAGAGGAGAAGGAGGAGGAGGAAACATATTATGATGGGGATGACAATGAGGGTGATGATGAGGGGGTTGAGGGTGGTGATGATGTTGCTGCTGATGATGATGATGATGATGATTAATGATGGTGTTGATGCTGCTGATGCTGATGCTGATGATGGTGATGATGGTGATGGTGATGGTGATGATGATGTTCATGACGATGATGAAGGTAATGATTGTGATGCTGCTGATGATGATGGTGGTGCTGATGCTGCTGCTGTTGTTGATGATGATGCTTGTGATGAGGATGATGCTGGTGACGATGCTGATGCTGATGATGATTGTTATATTGTTTATGACGTTGCTGACAAGGACGATGCTGAGGATGTTGGTGTAAACGACGATGATTATGATGATGATTTTGATGATGATGCTGATAATGATGATGGTAGTCGAAGTGATGATGATGGTGCTGGTGGTGGTTGTGGTGGTGACGATGATGGTGCGATGCTGGTGATGGTGATTGTGAACAGGTGATGGTGATACTGATGATGAGAATGCTGATGATGATGGGTGATGATGACGATGATGTCGATGATGATGCTGCTGACCATTCTGATGATACTGATGCTTATGATGATACTGATGATGATGGTGATAATGAGGATACTGATAATTACGATGCTAATGATGATGATGCTGATGCTGATGATGATGATGATGATGATGATGATGCTGATGATGATGATGATGATTATTTAGGCTGGCCTCACAAGCTGCCCCCATAGGCTGCCCCATACATAAGCTGGTCTCTTGTGCTGCCCCCTTTAGGCTGCCCCCATCCATAGGCTACCCTCATATATTACCCCCATGATGATGGTAATGCTGATTATGACTACGATGATGATGATGATGATGATGATGATGATGATGCTGATGCTGATGCTGATGCTGATGCTGATGCGAATGCTGATGCTGATGCTGATGCTGATGCTGATGCTGATGCTACTGATGATGATGATGATGCTGCTGCTGATGATGCTGATGATGCTGATGATGATGCGGATGATAATGCTGATGCTGATGGTGATGGTGGTGATGAGGATGATGATGCTGATGCTGGTGCTGGTGCTGATGCTGATGCTTATGCTGATTATGATGATGATGCTGATGCTGATGCTGATGCTGATGCTGACGACGAGGACCAGGACGAGGAGGATGACGAGGAGGTGGAGGAGGAGGAGGAGGTGGAGGCGGAGGCGGAGGAGGAGGTCGGGCGCGGCCGCCGCGGACTCGCGTGTGTGTGCCCCTCCTCGTCGTGGCTTTGCTGCGGCTGGCAGGTACAAGGGCGAGTCAAGGCGGAGGAGGAAGAGGAAGGATCCTTGGGGCCTCCGCAGAAGGATTGGGAGGATGGGAGGCGGAGGAGGAGGAGGAGGAAGATGAGGAGGAAGAGGAGGAGGAGGAGATGGAGGTAGAGAGCAAGAGGAGGCGGAGGAGAAAGAAGTGAGGAGGAAAGAACGGGGGGAAGGGGGCCAGTGGGCAGGGGGCCAGGGGGGAGGGAGGGGCGGAGTGGGGAAGGGAAGGGTAGAAAGGGATGGAGGGAGAGTGAGAGGCTAGCCGCTGCCCCGATGGGCGGGTGTTAATTCGCATGTTCCAGCTTGTAATTTGCTGCCTGGCAGGATTTAACATATTGAGTTCACAGGCGATCTAGTTCACGTCTGAGGCTTGAAGGTTTGAACGAGGTGGCCACAGCCGGGAAACCATTTCTGGCTTGTGTCCTGGCGCCGATATGCCAAGTTGGGCAAAAAGACTACGTGTCGGTGTCTCGCGGTGTGCGTGGGGTTGTCCCGTGGGTTGAACCGTAGCTGTCCGGCGGTTGCCTAACAGGTTGTCACGCGGGTTGGGTTGTCCCGTCGGTTGGCCAGTTGGTTTTCCCGTGGTCGTCCCATCAGTTGCCCCCCGGGATCTCCTTGGGTTGTCCCGCGGGTGGTCCTGTGGGTTGTTTTGTGGTTGTCCCATGGGTTCTCTCGGGGGTTGTCCCGTAGTCTTCTTCGTAGTGTGTGTTATGGTTGTCCCATTCTTGTTTGGTGTGGTGTTCCACGGGTTGTTCCGTTTTTGAGCCGTGAGTTATCCCGTGGATGTCCCGTGGGAATTCAGATCGAAAATCACAGACACATGCAAACGATGCGTAAACCGAGTTGCACAGCGATATGAAAAAAAGGTGCATCCAATTCGAAATGCAAGTTTGCATGTATTCGAACGTGGAGCCGATGTGCAAATCGAAATACACATCGCAATGCATATGCATGTTCAAGTTTAGATGACCATGGACATCCAAGTCGAAATAACGATGCAATTCCACATCGGCATATATTTTTATACGCAGCAAATGCAAGTCGTCACGCACATCGAAATGCAAACTGATATTCGACTCGAAATGCATTTAAACGCGATCGGAATGATATTCTAAACGGACTTCGAAATTAATAGTGACATGCAAGTCGACTTGCACATCTAAATGCAAGGTCTGCCACCCCATCCAGCCTTATCTTCACCCGAAGGGTGGTCTGTGACTTATGATCTTTTCTAGGTAGCCTCTGCACTCCCACTTCTGCCCAGCTGGCCCGGCCACCTTGGTCCTCCGCCTCGCATCTCCCAGCAATGAGGAACAATCAGATGAGGAGGGCGGAGGAAGGAGGTGGACCCGTTTCAAAGTTCGCCTTTGGCAGCGCCCCCGCCGCCGAGGTGGTCTGGTGCGCGCTCATCGAGACCCGGGCCAGCAAGCCGAGCGAGCCGGTCAAGGCCCGGGGATTTTCCTTCCTCCGCGCCTTCCCTCTTAGCATCGACGCCTCAGCAGGCGCACAGTAGCGGACGCTTTCCAGATTGGGCAGACCAAGGTAATTAGATAGGAAGGGGGATTTTGCGGATGAGCAGTGCGCCAACCTCGTGTGGTACGTAGTTCCACCGCCGAGATTTGAGGATTTCCTCATGCGTTTGTGTAACCGAGCCGAGCGTTGACATTGTGCGCGCCTTTCTGCCGAATGTGGGTCGGTTGCGCACCAGTGGTTTTATGCCCTCAGGCTCGCGTCGTTTGGCCTCTTGCTTCTTCACCTCGGGACATCGTACGTTAAGTATGTGTGTGTGTTGTCTTCGTTTGCGCGTGTAGTCAAGAAATACTGGAATCGAAACTTCTTTCTGTTCCGCGCATGCCCTGGCATCCTTCAGATAAAGAACTGACGCGATCTCGCAGGACGATGTTGCAGAGGAGGCGGTGGCCTGATCCGCCGGCAGCCTCGGAATGTGCCACTGAGCGCGCGGGGTAGTCCCGGGCTCAGGTCGCTGCATGTGCCATTTTTGGTCCAGGAGCTTGTCCTATGCTGCAGCTCGCGCCATCATCACTGGTTTCAATGGTGGTTGCGCTGCGGTCCATGGAAAGAGGTTTCGACAAATCTCTTCCTCACCGTGCAGCCTTGTCCTCTTCCCATTCGTCCTTCGCTTGCTCTCTCCCCCCTCGCGTCTCGCTTTCTCGCGCTCGTGTAGAGCTTGGTGTGGTTTCCGATTCAAGATCTTTTCGTTCGCTGGCGTCGCGTTTCAAATTCCAGGCGCCTTCTGGGATGGAGAGGCAGCGGCAATCCGGTACGCATGCCGTGCAGCGCGCAAGCACTGCAGCTAGAGGCCAAGTTGGCCAGGGAGCGCGCCACGCACCCGTGCACCGCCATGCCTGGCCAGGGTCATCTTGGGCCTTCCGCGGCGCACGGATCTTCCTTGCCTCGGCCCGGGATCCCAGGCATTCAGATGTGGCCCGAGAAGATGGGCACAAAGCACCTCAGCATCGTAGGTATCCGCCATCTTTCGTTTTAGGCTACGAGGTTGGTATCCTTACTCATCGAGAAGCACCACAAGTTGGCCGGTGGAGGGAACCACCCGGGCCCTGAGTGACAGCCGCGACAGTTCCTCTCGCTTCCTCCTTCCTCCCCTCCCCACCTACGTACTCTTCCTGGAGGGCGGCCGCCTTCCGCCCCTCCCTTCCCTCCCCTCCCCATCCCTCCCCTCCCCTCCCCCCCTCGCCCTCGTGGCGCCTCCTCGCCCTCCCCCCCCCTCTTTGGTCCCCTCCCGGAGGGCGGCCATGGAACTGCCCCGCAGCGCGCCGCCGGCCCGCAGCAGCGCGGCGGGCGCCGCCGCCCCCGGCGGCCGGGCACGTCTGCGCCCGGGGGGGGCCGCGCGGAGGGCGCCGGCCGCGGGGGGCGCAGGGCGCGGAGCGGACCTCGCCCGCGCCAGGGGGAGGAAGGGAGGGGGCCCCTCGACGTCCTCCTCCTCCTCCCTCCTCCTCCTCCTCCTCCTCCTCCTCCTCCTCCTCCTCCCCTCCTCCTCCCTCCTCCTCCCTCCTCCTCCTCCTCCTCCTCCTCCGTCCCCTCGCCCTCCTCCTTCTCCTCCTCCTCCTCCTCCTGCGTCAAAATCTTCATGACCCAAAGGGGCTATCCGAAGTCAGCGCCGTGAGAGGTTTCCTGAGGTCCTTCGTCAAGCTTTTTTGACGATGTCAATCCACTTGTGGACCAAGAGACCGATGACCCCTCGTCGGCGATCTACCACACTTCCGAGCTGCAGTGGGAGAAAGCGAAGAAGGAGCACGTCTTCTCGTACGTACCTGAGCAGAGACACTTCTTGCACAGGGCTCGGGAAAATGAAACGTTTGTTGACAATGATCTGTTCAGCAGGTGGATTTCGTCGGTCGAGAAAGCTATCCTTGATCGTCGGAGGTCCCTGAGGCCGAACGGGGTCCGTACATGGCTCGGTCCAGGGGCGCGAAGCTGGTGTGGTTGAAAGCTGGTATCAGAAAGTTCGAGTGCCGAAAATTTTGCCCCGTGTTGCTCGGTCGACGATTCGTCCTGATCCTAGATCCAGTCCAGGACGTACTCACATGAAAAGTGGAGAAGCTGAGTGGTGGGGCAACCTGACCACGCTTTTGTTTCGGTATCTTGATTTAAAGGCGAGCGGCAGTGATGTCGACCAGCAGCATCAGTGCCAGCAACTTTTTTCAAGGTTTGTTGCCAGGCATTGCATCCTGAGTCCTCGAAGTTCGGGGTGCTTGAGTCTGAGGTACGTGAGCTTCGGGAATTGCTGGCAAATGCTTCGTCAAAGGTTGTTCCCACCAGTTCAAGACAGCAAGGCAAAACGCAGTCGGTCTCGTCGTTTGCTCGCGAACATCACGAAGTGGGGTCCACAAGCTCATCGGCTTTTTGGTGTCACAGGAGCAGTGTCGATCTGATCCCTGATTCTGACTGGCCTGGTTTACGACAGCGGGCTCAGATTTTTTATGGTCGGGCTTCTTGCAAGGCCATGGTCGAGGGCCGCAAGGGTTTTGAAAAGTGGGTCCAGGACCAGTGGAAGGCCAAGCCTGGCCGCATCCACGCTCATGTCAAAGCTGTTCCGAGGGCCCTTCCCGAAATGCTTGTTTCGGGAAAGACGCTGTCTAATCCCACTTCAAGTATGGCTACAAAGCGTAGCCAGTGGCAGCGCGCTTGGACTGATCCCGTCGACAAGGGAGGACCTTCAGGCCTCCGTCGACAGAGCCCTTCGGAGAGCTTCTGATTATCCCCATCCCTGTTCTTTCGGTCGAGGAAGTGTCGTCGCCCATGTCGTGTTCTGTTTCCCAGGGGGGCCCGGGGATCGCTGCTCTCTCAGTTCCGGATATTCAGAGGCTGCCGCCTTCAGGCATTCAAGGTCTCACGCTTTTGTTCAACCAGATTGAGAGTCTTGGAGTTTGGCCTGAGCAGCTTTTTGCGACCTTGGGCGCACTTCTGCCGAAGCCCAATGGTGATGACCGCACCATTGGTCTCATTTCTAACGTCGTGAAGATTTGGAGCAAGCTAAGGTCTGGTTTTGTCGCCTCGTGGTCTGAATCCCCGGCGTCTTTCTGGGATGCCGCGGTCCGAGGTAGCTCTGCTTCAAGGGCGGCGCCGTTGAGATGTCTTCTGGATGAAACCGCGTTTCTCCAGGGCGCTCAGATTGCCGCGCGCCTTCTTGACATTGAAAAATTGTATGATTCCCTGAGTCTGGTTTTGTTGATCCAGATTGCAGAGCAGCTGGATTTCCCAGCCATTGCGATTGCTCTAGAGACGCAGATTTACTTGTCACTTAGGTTGCTCAAAAGAGCGGGTGGAGCGAGCGAGCCTTTGTCGCCGACTCGCTCGATTGTTGCGGGATCGCATCTCGAAGTTCCAGTAGCTGCGATGCTTATGTTCCCTAGTCTGCACCGAGCCCATATTGTGAAGCCTGGTGACAGCGTGTAGTTATGGTAGTTTATCGATGATGCAGTTGCTCGGCTGCTTTATAGATGATACAGTTTTGTGTAACGTGTATTTTCTCAGGTTTCGGTGGCCTTGGTCCAGGGGCTGAGGGGGCACATGCTCGTGATTTCTGACAACGTGTTCGTCGTGCACTAGCAATGGCTTAGCTAAAGAGCTCGGCCAGTGCCTCTTCGGTCTCGGGGCGCCGTGCCAGGTGTTCAAAGCCGCCGTTGATTTCGGGGTTGATACCACCCACGGTAAGGCGCGCAGGCTGGCTAAATCCAAAGAGCGATATAAGACGGCGACTCATGGGATTGGCCGTGGCAGGAAGTTGCGCAAGACAGCCAAGTTGAGTAGAATGTCTGAGAATTTGTGGAATAGAGGGGCCCTTCCCCAGGCCTCGCATGGCCACCGGCGCAACGCCCCCCCCCCCCCCCCTGTCGTCGCCAAGCTCCGACGCCAAGCGGCGCAGTCCATTGCGGGCAGGGGGGCGGGGAGGTGCCCCACTTCTACTTTGCCGCTACATGGTGGGAGGAAGAAGCCCGCTTTAGAATTGAGGCGACAACTGGTCTTCGAGTGGTTGATGGCGTGGCGGTCGACCCCTTTCCTTCGCCCTCGGGCGATTCGCGCGCGGTCGTTTCTCCGCCCCCGTCTGCTTGAAGCTGAGACCAGGTGGGCCCGTGTCAAAGGTCCTGTCACTGCGGTCATGGCGTGACTTTCTGACGCAGGCTGGTCTTCTCGGCTGGCGCAGTCGTGGACGAGGCCGACTGATCGAGGCGAAGAGACCCGGCGGCGCCCCATGGCTTCGGACCCAGGTTTCGAGGCTCACGATGCCGATTTCATTGGTCTCCTAGACGAGCTGATAGATGACACCCATGGCAAGTTATGGCGCCTGGCACCCGATCACTTCGAAGGCGGGGGCTTGGAGCCGGGGGGCGGGGACTTGCGCTGTGCCCGTCTGGGGGCCAAGCGGTTTGATAATAATCAAGAGTTCGACAGCTTAGGTTGTCATAGTGCTGTGATTTCTGGGGGTCTGTGGCCGCGGGTCAGGATGGCTGACAGCGGCTGCGCGGTCTCTCGGGTTTGTTCCGGGTGCGAGTTGGAAGAGGGGGCCCTTTTCCATCGCGTCTGGACGCGCTGTATGAATGCATGTGAAGAGTTTGACAAGTCCAACAGTTTGCTCACTCAGGCCCAGGCTCAGTTCCAGTTGTCCTGTGTTTTGGTTGAGAGGTACGCCTCCCTGCAGTTGGACCCAACCCCCTGAGGCCTGCCGCTGCCCTGTCGAGCAGGTTGCGCACTGTGGCCCCGACGACTTCGGAGCTCTCGAACCTCATCCCGTGCACGGGCGGGTTGTTTTTATCGGTGGCGGCTCTGGGGGCAAGTTTAGCTCTGGTGCGCGCAGAGGAGGGTGTGGTTTCGCCGTGATCGCGCTTAAGAGTGGCCGAGAGGGGAGTTCGAGTCTGGCTGCGGGTGCTCGATCTGTCCAAGGAGGGCATAGGCGAACGGTTCCGAGCGCCGAGTTGACAGCCTTCGCTCTAGCACTGGAGCCGGTTCAGGTTGCCATTCTTTTTGTCGCTGGTCATCAACCGTTGCTGCGGGCATGGGTATCTGGTAGATATCAGTCAAGGGGCGGCTCGAATCAGGATTTATTGGGTCGCATGAGAGTTGCCCTCGGAGACCGATCACCAGATGATGTTTCCATCAAGTGGACCCCGTCTCACGCCGAGTCGGCTGAGAGCGGTTTAGACCCGTTTTTAATTCAGGGAAGTTCCTTGGCGGATGAAGGGGCGGGGCGGGCGGCGGGCGCGGGGTCGGAGTCGCGTCGCGTCGAGTCTGTTGACACTGATCGGTGGGATGCCACTGGAGTGCTAGTTCGAGCTAGGGCTCGGAAGGCGCTCGAGCTGGCCGTCGAGGCGGACCCTCGGAGCGGCGAGAGGATGCCCTCTCTCGTGCTCTAGCTGCTTCCGTCCACAGTCTTGTCCAGGTAGGGGGT